AATTATGGAATAACTTCTGTGTAAACTTGAGTAGAGTTCCCTCACATGTTTTCCTTCAAATACGTTCATCGCCGCCAAAAGACTAACCTTTAGCGTATCGGTTAGGGCCATACGTGGAAGCCCTTTACTTGGCGTTTGATGGGGCTCATATAGCCGTTGCTGCGGTGTAGGCATGCGCTTGCCCATCTCCAAGTGAACGCTGCTCCTCTACTGTTTTGCTGCACGTCCTAACCCTTATGCTCCCACCAGTGGCTGCGAGGCTACGTGTAGAAGAAGAAGTAGGGATGGATATTCTCGCTGGAGGCTAAGATAATGCTGCTTGGCTTTGGAATAACATGGGATCGTAAAGGGATTGTTGCCGGTGTTCAGAGAACGAGTAGCAGGAATGGTGGAGAAATTTCTCAGCTTATTTTTCAGTAGCTCTCGTGGACCAGCAAGCTGAGCACATACAATGTCATACTACACTCACCGTTGGAAGAATGCATGGCAGTTTGAACAGCGATGTCTGGAACAAGCAGAGCGGATTCGACGAGTTCATGTCTGTACATAATGTCAGTTTCATGAAAAGATTTCGTTTGCATAGTTATTAAACTCAGTTTACAGTTTGAATGCTCACAAAGCAACCTCGCTTCTTTCTCAAATGCTGCCGGTTGCTGTTTCAGGTAGTGGTCATTACCGCTCAGGTGTTCCTTGATCTGATAGATCACGCATACTTCAACATTGCAAAACTTGCCCTTGTTATATTCGATGAGTGTCATCACGCGCTTGGTGTGAAACATCCGTATCGTGTGATCATGGATCGAATCATGCGAGTACCAGCAGGTAAGGTATTTGTTTTTGTGTAATCGTTCATTCTTTGTTCGTTCTTTATCCAAGTTTAACGCTACGCTTCTTTCCTGTTTAGCCGAACAACCACGGATATTGGGTTTGACTGCTTCACTTATCAACGACAAAACACCACCCAATCAGTTGGAGGCGAAGCTTTCCAAGTTGGAGTGCGTATTGAATAGCGCTATAGAAACAGCCTCTGATCTCGTGGCGGTAGGTACCGCTCTAGTATACAAGAACCTTGTCTTATTGATCGCATTTCTGTTCCTAGTGCGAAACTTTTTTTGAAAAATGTTTTTTTTCGCTCAGCTGCTCAACATACGACCATAGTTATCTTTTGTGTGAATGGTAGGTGGAATGTTGCCCCTTTGAAAAGAGAGATACAGACGATTACAGCGAGGGTAGGTCAAGAGAGCAGAGGCTAGGGTCACCCACCGTAGTTAGTTTGAGGCCATTATCTTTAAAGGAAACTACCTATAATTTACATGGATACTTCTCTACCTTCTCTGCTACCCATCGTACCTCTCACGAACATCAGCTGTCCCAATTTCTGCTTTAACACGTTGACGACATCGCGTGTTTTGGCATTTTGCACCGCGTGGGACAGGAGCGATTTTGCGAGCGCGCCGTCCTCACCTTACTTCCGCTTATTTTTTGTTTAAAATGCACAACAACTTGAATCTCATAGAATTATTTCGGCAAGGATGAAAGCATAAAGGTTAACTATATAAGTAGATTTTTGTTAGAAGAACGCATAATGACCACGAAGAAGCAAAAAACATCACTTTCGCTGCGAATGAAGTTAAAAGCATTTATACCTAAGTTCTTCCATCAAATACAAATATCTTGAAACTCACAGAGTTTTGTATTAACTGCTTCTACAATCTTTCATATGAATGTTACGACAGTGAAAGGAATACTAGGAAAGAATTGAAATGAAAGTTTTGTGCGTTCAGAAAATCTTTGCTAAATCAAGGGATATTTGACCACTCTGGCTGCCATGTGGTTTATAGTTATGCTAATGTATTATCTATAGAATGAATACAAAAAAACTCGAGAAGAAGGAGCGCAAGCACAATAAAAATGAATGACATAGTTCTGACGCGCATGCGCGTCAGCCTGTCGTCAACGTGTTAAAGGGGCGGTACAGTGGGAAGAGTTGAGAATTGCAAAACAGTTAATGAAGTAAACGGTGGGTGGGCGAGAAACGGAGCGAGACAGAACATTCAACGGTGTGATTGTCAGGCAAACATATGGGAAGTAGCGATAGATATATCAGTTCACGACTATGTATAGTTATAACTTGGGGGCTGGGGTGAGACAAGGAGTTATTGTCGCACACTCTCTAAAGACTTGAATTTTTGTTTTTTTCTTGTTTTTTTTTGTGAGTGAGAGGAGAGAATGCTATTATTGATGGTTATTGATTTTCACATATATACATAGAAGGCAGCTATAGAAGTTCAAGTATTCTATCAAGCGTATTCTATGTGAACTGAAGTGAACTTCCGGTAAAAATTTGATGCCCTACAGACCGGATCATGCTTCTTGACCTCAAGAAGCATTGTTGCAAGGTGTCAATTCTTATAGCAATAACATTAAGATATCGAAGTACGGTGCAAAGCCCAATGAATATGTCGTCATTTCGTCGGACTACAATCCACAGGAGGGCTGTGGTGGAGAAATTCTTCAGTTACTGGTAATTAAATCTGTCTGCTTTGTACGAATGTCGTTATTTCTTTTCTGAAGCAGTGGTCTTCAGGAGGACTGGCGAAAATTCTGCTCCTCGACGCAAGAGTTCGATCCGAATTTCGATATCGATCCTCGTAAGCCTATTCAAGAGGCGCTCAATAGAACCCTGGCAGTACTCCGTCAGGTCGGACCTTGGGCCGCTTGGAAAGTGTGTTATGTTTGATTACTCATCATTCCTCTCTCCTTTTCGTATTCTTGTTTTATTGATGTGAATCTTCAGGTTTCTCAAATGTGGGAGAAGGAGCTTCATAAACTGACGAAGCAAAGTTTTCTTCAAGAAAAGACCGTGGACTTTCTGATTATGGGAGAAACCTGCATGACCACTGTCCGAAAAATGCTGGAGCCTAAGGTGGCCAACTTTTGTTTGTCTTCTTCCTCACAAAGTTATTTATTATAATAAGTACCGGTAGCAGTTTGATCGCCAATTTTGTTAGGTTTAAAATCTATCGTTCCTCAACATTTTCGTAATTCTCTCTTTTTGGTGTTCGTCCTTGTGTCCTACTGATATTTTATAGATGAAACCGATCAAAAGCCTCGAAGGACTAAAGCCTTATCTGCCAAATAAGGTAGTGCGATTGATAGACATTCTCTCGCATTTCAATCCAGATAAGGGAAACGTTTCGAGCGAGAAAGAAGAGCAGCTGAGCGGTATCATTTTCGTCGATCAACGCTATGTGGCATACACTCTTAATGTGAGCATCGTTTCTCAATTATTCTTCGTTCACGTTCCAGAAAAAGGTTCACTTTATTGATGTTCGAGTTTGCAGGTTTTACTCAAGCATGTGTGTCGATGGGAAGCAGATTTCAAATTCATCCAGTCTGATTTTGTAATTGGATTTAGTGGTGGGAGCTTTGCGTCGGACGACAGCCAGGGATTACATAAACGACAGGCAGATGTGAGCTTTGGCTAAATTTTTGGTGTTTTAGGACCTCCATGTCAAATGTTGTGTATTTCAAAAAAGATTCATTGATGCAGGATGATTAGAATAGTTCTTCACGACTGCTTTCACAAGATTTGAGATGTTCATTTTCTCAAAATCACATAAACAGAGCGAATTTTGAGTAATTTGTTTCTGAGGTGGTCGTAGCCGCTGTAGCTGCTGATTTCATCAAAGCTCGTGCTCCGTTCTCGGCTATATCGCTTCAAATTTTTACAGTATCTGGTCCCTGTTCTTTTTCTTTCCTTGATCTTCGTTTTCAAGGTTATTCGGCGGTTTCGACAAGGAGAGCTGAACTTATTAGTGGCAACGAGTGTTCTGGAAGAGGGTGTCGATGTCCGTCATTGTAACCTGGTGATTAAGTTTGACCGACCGATTGACTACCGATCCTACATCCAGGTTGGTTCCTTCATATGCTAGGACGTTATATTATGAGGTAGAGATCAGCGAACAGATCTTCCAACGTCGCTCAAGACACTTCGCCTTCTCATACATGCTCTAC